ATCATTGGAGTTACTATCCTAGAGAAAATATCTATGACAACATCTGCTTCAGTTACATAAACAAAGAATTTCATAAAATATTAAGAAGAAAAGTAAGCTTCATAAATAATTAAAATTTAACAAAAGCTCCTAGGGACAGCTGCTTCCATTTAGAGAATGAAAGATATAACTTTACGTGTACGATGACTACTTGTATACTTAATCCTGAATTGTACTCCACATTTTAAAAATAAAATTTTAAAAAAACAGAAACAAAACAGTTTGGTCACAAAAGAAAGAAAGAAACAAAGATATGGAGAGCACCTTAACTTTTTACAGTATGTCAGTATGAATTACCAGCAAAATATCTTTGGCAATATCACATTTTTGAAATGTGGACAAAACAGATTCCCCTCCCAAAAAGACAAAGTAATAATGGTGTAAAAGAAGAAAGCTGAAGAGTTCAAAAGTCTCTTCAGATTATCAAATCACTGGGTTGTTATCAGTAGTATAACAAGAGCGGTATAACAGGCTCTTTGTAACAGAAAAGCACACAGCATAAAACTTGTAGGTATGAGCTCCTATGACAGTCGGAACAAAAGGGCATATCTCCTAGATACATCATTCTTATTAAATTTTTATTCCTAGCACTTTCAATCTAAACTTAAGAGCATCTCATTTATTCCATGTTCTTAGGGAGCAAGATACTCATATGAGTAAATTCAGAAATGAAAGCTTATCTCTTTATGTGTCCAAACTGTTCATAAATTCTTAATTCATTTTCTATTAAAATAATATAAGCTAAAGAGATAATATAGTAGAAGAGCATAGGAAGCATTACATGTAAGTGTGTGACTTCAGGCAAGTCACAGAATCTTCCTGAGTCCAATTTCCTCTCTATAAAATGAGCATGGTAACACTAATTCATTGGATTCAAGATATACTATGAGCTAAAAAAGCATAGGAAACTGTTAAGTGAATGTAAAATATTAGCTGTTTGACTATATGTTTACCTGTTTATAAGCTAAGGGTAGTGTATCTATCTAACTGATTCTTGGAAAAAATTTTAAGAATTTTTGTTAGAGAATCTCTGTCTGATAAAATTACAATAAATGTAATAAAATAAAAATAAATTTCCAGTAAAAAGTGTTATTCTAATAAAAAATTTAAAAATTTTTTCTAATTAAAAAATCAAATAAAATTCACCCTACCACACATACTTCCATGGAATGGAAACTGCAAAACTCACTTCTAAATAATCATGAATTAATAAACAGAAACGAATGTAGAAATAACAACAAAAGTCCTCATGTCGCAGAATGCAGTTAAAACAGAAAGATATATATTCTTTTGCTTTAAATGAATTTACTTGAAAACGAGAAAGACGGAAAATATAGAACCTAAATAGAAAAAGATGCCTGAAAAAGAACAAAAACATAAACTGTAAGAAAGTAGAAATAAATAATGAAGGTACAGGTAAAAATTAAGAAAATAGAAACACCACTGAGAGGCAGAACAGAAGTTGGCTCTGGGAAAAGATTAATAAAACACTGATAAACCTGATAAAAAAAGAGATAAGGTGCAAACAATATTAGAAATAAAAAGAGAGACAACTCTAGAAGCAAACAAGTTCATAAGCCCATATATGCCATCAAACCTGATAACTTAAATGAAATAGATAACTGTCTAGAAAAAATAAGTTACCCAAACATAGACAACTCCATTATTGAATGGAAATTTAAGTGCATTTTCATTCATGAATAATGTGTTTTCATTAATGTATATAGAAGTAAATAAAGACAAATGAGAAAAAAAAAAAAGGCTGAATGGACAAATAAACATTAAAAAATTGATCACTAGTCAAAAACAACAACTCTATAGAAGGAATGAAGCCAAGATGCTTTTGTAGACTTTTTTCAACATTCTCTTATAAAAAATTTCAAATTCACATACATTAAAATCAAAAGATTGCACAGTAAACACCTATCTACCCACTACCTAGATTATGCAATCAACATTTTACTAGATTTTCTTTCGCATAACTTATTATCTATCCACCCATCCTTCTTTCTACACATTAATTCTTTTATATCTTTTCTTGGCTATTGGGAGGTAAAAATATAGGAAAACAGATATATGACAGGACTTCAAAGCACCAGGCTAGTGAATCTTTACACTAGCCTGGAGCTTTGAGTGATCCATATCAATCTAGCATTTTCAATGTTTTTCTAAAAATAGAATTGGGAGCTCTGGTACTGTGAAAACAAAAATATGTATGCAAGAGGTATTCAGGATGAAGAGTCTTGAGACCCTATTCTTTCCTGTCTTTGAATACTGTCAGGTAAAAATGAATATTCTGATCCCTTTCCAAATAATTTCTATAGGTATTAGTCAGTCCCTGCTCTCCTCAACAAAAAAGAGAATTGAGCTGGATCTTTTAAAGTAGCAGTTATAAAATGCATATATATTTTTTAATTAATTAATTTTATTTTAAAGATGCGGGGTACAATTCAGGATTAGGTATACAAGTAGTCATCATACAGGTCAAGTTTGGGACTATCTTTGGTCCCCACTTTACCTGGCTTGAAATCAGGTACCCTTATTGATGTTGTGTGCCCGCTCCCCCCTTACCTGGCAGTTTGCAGCTACTGCCAATCCTTTTTTTATAGTATTATGGTAAATGTTCAGGGTCCACTTGTGAGTGAGAACATATGGTGCTCAGTTCTTTGTTTCTGTGATAATCACTGAATATTATAGACTCTAAATCCATCCAAGTTGCTGCAAAGTCCATAATTTTGTTCTTATTATAGCTGCATAATATTCCATTGTGTATATACAGCACATTAAAAAATATATATTTTATTTTAAAGATGTAGGGTACAATTCAAGATTAGGTATGCAAGTGGACACCATACAGGTATTGTTTGGGTCTACCTTTTGGTCCCCACTTTGCCTGGTTTGAGATCAGGTATCCTTACTGATGTTATATACTCCCCCAACCCTGGCAGTATACTGCTACTGCCAATCCTTTTCTTATAGTCTTATGGTAAATGTTCAGGGTCTACTTATGAGTGAGAACATGTGTTACTCAGTTCTCTGTTTCTGTGATAGATTACTGAGTATTATATACTCTAAATCCATACAAGTTGCTGCAAAGTTCATAATTTTATTCTTCTTTATGACTGTGTAATATTCCACCATGTATATGTACCACATTTTTTAAAATCCAGTCCAGTTTAAATGGGCAGCATGGCTGACTCTAAGCTTTTGCTATCATAAATAGTGCTGCAATAAACATGTGGGTGCAGGTATCTTTTTTGTAGAGTGATTTAAGTTCCTCTGGGTATATTCCCAGAAGAAAGATTGTTGGATCATATGGAAAGTCAATTTGTAGTTCTTTTAGGAATTGCCACACTATTTTCTATAGAGTGTGAACTAATTTACACTCCCACCAACAATGTAGAAGCATTCCCTTTTCTCCATATCCTCTCTAGCATCCACTGTTTTTTGTTTTATTAATGATGGCCATTCTTACTGGAGTTAGGCGGTATCTCAATATGGCTTTGATTTGCATTTCTCTGATGATTAGTGAGGCTGAGCACTTTTGCATGTGTCTGTTGGCTGCCCATACATCTTTTGAGAAGTGTCTATTCACATCTTTTGTCCACTTTTTAATGGGGCCGTTTGCTTTTTTCCTTTCGGCACATTTGAATTCCTTGTAGATCCTGGATGTTAGGCCTTTGTCAGATATGCAATCGGCAAATACTTTTTCCCATTCAGTGGTCTGTCTCCCCGCTCTCTAGATGGTTTCTTTTAAAATGCACATGTTTTTATAAATGCACGTATTCAGTCAGGAGACATTTATCATACAATGAATTAATCAGAAAACATTTACTAATCATGAGCCCGGTGGACACTTTCTCGGTGGCTCAGCCTGTAATCCTGCGCCTTGGGAGGCCAAGGTGAGTGGATTGCCTGAGCCCGCGGGTTTGAGACCCGCCTGGGCAACTAGGCGAGACCTCATCTCTACAATAAATCAAAAATTAGCCTGGTGTGGTAGCGTGCGCCTGTAGTTCCAGCTACTCGAAAGGCTGAGGCGGAAGGATCACCAGAGCCCAGCAGGTCGAGGCTGCGGTGGCTGGGAGCGGCCACTGCACTCCAGTCTGGGGGCACAGAGTGAAACTCCAACTTCCCCCCGCCCCCCAAAAAAACTACTATCAAAGGCTGACAGCATATAGATAATAAGGTTTAATTCATAAAAAGCAAGACATTGTAGTATCCCTTTTTCTTATCAATTATAAAATGCTAATTTCCCCTTAGTGCTCCTTTATTATTCTTTGCATTGACACATGACCTGCTGCTCCTCCATATGGCTAAGTTGAGTACATTCAAAATATATTTGAGTGGGAAGATAAAACTCTTTAAACCAGGGGTCCCCAACCCCCAGACTGAGGAAAGGTACTGGGCAGTGGACTGTTAGGAACCTGGCCACACAACAGGAAGTGAGCAGTGGTGAGTGAGTAGAGCTCTGCCTTCTGTCGATCAGCAGTGGCAATAGATTCACATAGGAGTGTGAATCCTATTGTGAACTACACATGCAAAGGATCTAGGTTGAGGGCTCCTTGTGAGAGTCTAGTGCCTGATGATCCCCACTTCCCTCCACCCCACTCACCCTCATCCATGGAAAAATTGTCTTCAACAGAACCGGTCTCTGAGGTCAAAAAGGTTGGGGACTGCTACCTTAAACCATTCTTCTCAAACACTATGCACATGGCAATGGATTAACATTTTGTTCTAGACTGTGTCACAGCCTTCTTTTTCGCCCTTGGTGCCACCTTCACCAATTCTTCAACAAGGAGAAGAGAATGTCCTCTAATTTTGTTAGAAGAAATGCTGTTCTCAGGAAATTTGTCCTTTAAAGCATTCTTCTAATATCACTGGCACCTTTATTTTGTTTGTATGCAAAAGCACTTTAGATTCCAAAATGGATTATGCCACATACGGCAGTAAAGGTAACTTACCTTGCTGGAGTTTTCTAATAAAAATTGGAATGTGTTCTGCACAACTTGGCATGTTTCTAGCTCAGTCCGGCTGAAGGCTATTAGATAATCCTTGAGGTGATCATACACATTTCCATCAAGAGCCTGTAACAGAAGAGGAAATAAAAGCAAAAGAAAATTATGATAAAGCTTTGACACTTTATGCCTTCTGCTTATGAGAAAAGTAGTCATGTTCAGTTTAAAATTCATTGTTAATAATAAATGGACAAAAAATACAGATTGCATGTAAGTAAATATGAACAGTTAACAATCACTTGGGAAAATATAAACAGACTTTAAAAGGTAAGATCCAATATTTGTAAAACTGTGGGAAAATAGGAAATAACTTAGAGAAAGATGCCTAAGTTCTAATCTTTGCTCATCTGCTTATTAGCTTCTGCTGTCACTGCATAACAGAGTAGGTATAGGAGTTAAATGAGATAATAGATGTGAAAGGATCTAGAGGCAATGCCTGGAACAGAGTAGACACTCCATAAACATCAATCTCCTCCATTTTTCCTCACCCTTTATTGGTAGAATTATAAATTAGTACATGTCTATTTACTAAAGAGCAGTCAGAGAAAAAATACAATAGAAATATTGGGGAAAAAAGTGAATCGGAGACACTGTTTTGGTGGAGAAAGTACCAATAAAATATCTATGAAGGGTTTTAAATATTTTTATTTGCTTAAACATTTATGGCAGGACTCTTCAAAAAAAAAAAAAGAGGAAATCACTGAAATGAGTAAGTTATGATGTGTATAGTCACTAAATATATATATATATAGCCACCAAAATTAAAAAACTGTGGAAACTGCAAAAATTTTAGGTTAACAAAAGTAGAACATATAGGTGACATTCATACTAGCAAAGACGATGAAAAACTTTATCTATAATAATAATAATAATAAAAGGTTTTGTAGTCTTGCCAATCAATGGAGGTTTTCTTAAAAATTGAGGTAAAATTCACCCATTATAAATATCACCATTTTAATAATTTTAAAGTATACACTCCAGTAGCTTTTAGTACATTCACAATGCTGTGCAATGTTACCATTATCTAATTCCAGAATATTGTGCATTACCCTTCCAAAAGCCCTAAATCCATTAAGTAGTCATTCCCCACTCCTCCTTTTCCCCAGTCCCTGGCAACCACTGATCTGCTTTATCTCTCTATATCTCCATGGATCGGTCTATTCTGGATATTGCCCATAAATAGAATCATGTAATACATGGCCTTTTGTGTTTATCCTCTGTCACTTAACATATTTTCAAGGTTCATCAATGTATTAGTACTTCATTACCTTTTTATGGCTGAAAATATTCCACTGTACCACATTCATCAGTTGACATAAAATTATCACCTCTCTACTTTTTGGCTATTATAGTAATGCTGCTATAAACATTTATGTACCAGTTTTTGTTTGAACACCTTTTTCCGTTTCTCTTGGGAATATAGCTAGGAATAGATTGCTGGGCCATGTGGTAATTCTATGTGTAACAATTTCAGGACTTGTCAAAGTGTTTTCTACATTGACTGTACCATTTTATCTCTCTACTACCAATGGATGAAGGTCCCAATTTCGCCACATCCTTGCCAACACTTTTTAAAAAAATTATAAAAGCCATCTTTAGTGGGTAGGGAATGGTATCTCATCATGGTTTTGATTTGCACTTCTCTAATGATGTTGAGCATATTTTTATGTGCTTATTGACCATTTGCATATCTTGTGTGGAGAAATGTCTATTCAAATTTTTAACTCATTTTTAAATTAGGTTGTCATTTTGTTATTGAGTTGCAAGAGTTACTTATACCATCAATAAGAGTACCTGATCTCAAACCAGGTGAAGTGAGGATCAAAGGGCGGTTCAAACTTTACTTGTACAATGACCACTTATATACCTAATCCTGAATTGTACCCCACATCTTTAAAAACAAACAAAAAAAGAGTTCTTTATGCATTGTGGATACTAGACTCTTAAATGATTTGCAAGTATTTTCTCCCATTTTATGGGCTGCCACTTCCTTGATAAGTGTCTTTTGATGTACAGAAGTTTCTTTTATTTATTTATTTATTTATTTATTTATTTAGAGACAGGGTATTGCTATCTTACCTAGGCTGGACTTGAACTCCTGGGCTCAAGCAATTCTCCCACCTCAGTCTACCACGTAGTTGGGACAACAAGTGGGGGCCACTGTACCTGGCTTAAACGTCTCATTCTGTCCCCAGGTTGGAGTGCAGTGCCACAGTCCTGGCTTACCACAGCCTCGACCTCCTGGGCTCAAGGGATCCTTCTGCCTCAGCCTCCCAAGTAGCTGGGACTACAGGCACGGGCCATTACCCTTGACTAATTTTTTGATTTTCTTTTTTTTAGAGAGACATGGTTTCTGTTTCCCAGGATGTTCTTGAACTCTTTGGGAATTCTCCTGTGGTGGTTTCCCAAAGTGCTGGGATTATAGGCATGAGCTTCCACACCTGGCCAAAAGTTTTAAATTTTGATACAGTCTCCTTCTTTTTTTGCTTTGTGTTGGTATTATATCTAAGAATCCTCAATGGAGGCTTTATAAGCGGCCACTGCACTCCAGTCTGGGAGACAGAGTGAGACTCCAACTAAAAAAAAAAAAGAAATTCTTTTTGAATCTTATACTTGGCTATTCCATTAAACTTTGACTACAAAATGATTTTTTAAAAATATACAAATTCTGTCCCAAAGCACTGGGTAATAAAGCAACACCGTCTATAGCAGCCATACCACTAGATGGCACAAATGAGCACTTTAAGAATAAGTTGTGCAAATACCTCTCGCATGATTTCCAAGTAATTAAGTAACATCACCAGAGATTGTTGGTGTTAAGTCTGAATAAAATTTCCTACCTCAGGGCATGCTTTTTGAACTTGTTTTTTAAAAAAGAAACTTACAGTATAAATAAAGCTTTTGTCTTAGAAACGCTCTTGATGGATAATCGTAACCTTGTATTTGCAGGAAAACACTGGAGTATTTTATTTAAATACAGCAAAATGGTGATATAGGAATCAGGAGCTCAAAAAAAAAAAGGTCATGAATTTTAAGGTGAACCAAAGACCCACACAGTTTCTATAATCTCACTGCAATATAAACTGAATACCCACTGTGCCTGGGCACTATGCTAGCTGCATGGGTGTGAGTGAGAGGAAGAAGAAACATGGAAAAAGAAATCAAGGTCCTGTTGTTACTTCTGTCTTTGACCTTACTAAAACCAGAATTATTTCTAATTGAAGAAAGTATTTCTCATTAAAGGAGTTATATTATTGATTTCATTAATTGAATTAATTGTATAATTAATTAATATCTCATTAAAAGAACTACATCATTGATAGAAGTATATCACAAATTAGGAATTATACATTCACTCAGCTTCTTGCATCTCACTTTAAAAATTCTGAACACTTTATAAAGACATTCAAAAAGCAATCTGTTGCTGCAGTATATTTCACTTTGGCTACAAAATTTATATTATCTCATTGGGTCACGAGATAATAACTGATACACGAATTCCATGGTCTATCACTAGACATGATGATCTAAACTAGGCAGCCAAAGCCCTACCAAATGGAGGTTGATTATAAATACTGCTTACACTGGTAGTTTCAAATTAGGCGTATAGACGTATAAATATTTTTCTTCATTTAAATGTGAAGAATGTCAACCAGAATCATAGACATGTATTGATAACTCTAACATTAAAGAGTTACAACAGTAATACAAACCACGACAATTTAGTGAACAAGTAGCAACTAACTGCTCATACTAAAAGATTTCCAATAGGGATTTGTGCTGTTTTTGTAAAAAGGCAAAGCCCTACTTAACAGGGATAAATCCTAGTTTTTACTACACTAACAGTTCACAAACAAATATGTTTCAGTCCTGCCCTCTCCTCTTTCCCAGATGGATGAAAATTCCTGTAGGTCTTTAGGGGTTTGGAGGATCCTTCAAATTCTAGCAGTCTTCCATTTTCTAAGGTCTAACTAAACCGATTGTTCCCAAACTTTAGTGTTCACAAGAATCACTGCAGAGCTTATTAAAACACAAACTGTTTTAGGTCAGTGAAGCTATTCTGACACTATAATGGTGAATATAGTCACTTCTAAACTGACCAAGAATGAAACTATAAACGTTGGGTGATGATGATGTATCAACATAAGGTTCATCAATTGTAACAAATCTACTACTCTGGTGGGGGCTGTTAATAGTGAAAGAATCTCAGCACGTATGGGGGAATGAGGTGTAAGGGAAATCTCTGTACCTCTGTTAAATTTTGCTGTAAAAACTATAACTTCTCTAAATAATAAAGTCTACTTAAAAAAATAAATAAAAACACAGATTGCTGAGCCCCACCCCCAGAGTCTCTGATTCAGTAGGCTGGGAGTGGGGCCTGAGATTCTGCATTTTCTAACAACTTGTTGCTGATCTGGGACCATACTTTGAAAACTACTAGACTACATGGTTACTTACCTGACTAGGTTGTGCATTTGTGTAGGCTTAGATTCTGGTGACTCTGTGGAAACAGAGTGGCTGGAGGCAGAGAAGCCTACCATCCTGAATAGGGTCAACGGCACTAATAGGTACTACTATTGTAAATGGATCAGTAGCTGTTTTCAACTGAGAATAATGCTCTGCTTCATATGCAGGACAGAAAACAGCTTGAGCTCTGAAACAAGTTGGATGTAGGCAGAATCCCAGAACTTTTACTGCATCTTTTTGATGGGTTTTTTCATTTGTAATGAGGGAAAGTGGGAGTACCATACTCCACAGGACACAGTGAAGATTAAGGTAATGGATGTGGCACAATGTTAGTCTCTTTTTTTTTTGCCTTGTTTAAAAATCTTCAGTGGAAGGACATATTGATAACTGTTAAAGAAAGTTAATGAATACAGGAGGCCATTATACGTTTTTTTAAAACTGCAGTGTATGCTGGAAATTTTTCATTTAAACATTTTCATATTAGGAAAAGAAACCTGATTTTTCAATGGCTTGCGCTGCATATTTTGAAAAACGGAAATTCTTTAGCTCGTATTTAAGATTCTTCACAGCCTAATCCCAACCTACCTCTCATTAGCACCATC